TTTGATTCCTTTTCTGTTAAAGCGTTGAGAGTATCCCACCTGAGTGGTCATTCGCTACCATTGATCGCGGTCCCGCTACCCTGTTGCCCTTTACGGACAAGTACGGTAGGACGGTAGGGGATAGGATCGTGACATATCACCAAAATCATTTTGGTATGTGATTTGCAAAGAACCATGGAGATTAGATAAGTTCTTAATGATTTTGGGTCTTATGGTTTTTATGCAAATGTTTCTTTTGTTCCTCAATCGATTACTCTAGAAATGCCTAATTTATTGTATTTTTTTGTTAGTAAATTGAAGTGGACATCGATATGATCGTTTTGCGCCAAGAATCACATGAAATGATCTCTGATTGATCAAGTTATGATTCCAGAAATCAATTTTCTGTTATCTTAAAAATTGTGCCCAACTTCAAGCCTTGGATAGGAATTGTTTCGAACCCTAATTGAGACTTTTCTTGTGAAAAATCAAAGATAATCGAGTCACGATCAAAAAGCATTAATTTTGAGCTTGATTCGACGGTCGGATATCAAATTATGGTTGTTGGAGTGCAAATAGGTAATAAAAACTGATTTTTGCATGTGCTCGAAAACTTGTGGACTTTTTCTCTAGGATATCTTTCAATTTGGTCGACGATCATCTGCAGCCTTGTACCAAAAGATCATGCAGGTCGTGGAGCATGACATATCCATAGTTTGGCTTGATCCAGCTTACGGAAAGAGAGGCCTAAGGGTGCAAAGTTCGCCCATTTTTTTAGGAAGTGAAGGATTGTGCTATTGTTGAAAACTGGTTGAAGCTATGATATCCTGAATAGTATAAAAAGTACAAAATTTTGAAAAGTAGGGCCTAAAAAGGTATGTTGGATTGAAATTAAGGGGTTTTTGTTTTTTGGACCTTCTGAAGCTATCTGTGATGGTTTGGAGGCCTTCTAAGGTTAATATCCAAGAGTTTTACTGTATTGTATGTTCATATACCTATGGAGCACAATAGTCCCATTATCTCACTTCCCTCATATCTCTTTGTAGCCTTGTCCAATAGGGCTGAAACTTGAGGAATATTTTCAAGGTATTAGAGGCCACTTTTGTGCTCTTTTTGGGGCCGAGATGGCTTTATTACATACGTGCTTCCGTGGCTTTTCAAGCGTACTTGGTATTTGAAAGCCATGATTACAACTATCTCCTCTGTTATTCACACATGTTGTAGGCATGTCAAAAATATGCACAAAAACCTCCAATTTCTACTGGTAAGCCTTCAGATTGTAGGCAAGTGAGAGGGGCACCTTGCTGTTTGAGAGCTGAGGAGATTGAGGATCGTGCAACTTTAATTGTGAGCATCCTTACGTAATCCTCAGCCTCAAAGCACCCCACAATAGCACCCAACAAATTGATTCGATGCAACAATTTGATCATTTAAACGTTTGATTTATATAGGTTGATCATTTTTCTTTTAGTTTTTGACAAATAATACTATCAACTTTTTGAAAAAATTGCCATATCAAAATGAATATAGGGCACGTTAATATTGATCTAAATGAACAAGCCAATCAACTACTTGATTGTGCACTTTTATCGTTTATCTTTTACTTTTAGAAATATGTATTTTAACCCGAAAAATTTGAAGAAAAAGGTCTTTTTAATTAGAGCAAGTTCAATTTGTGTTTAAATTAATTCTAATTAAATTTTTATTCTTATTAGTCATTTTCAAGAATTATTTGTGATTTGTTAGGAATTATTTGATTACTTATGATTTATTTTTTTCTTATCAATATTTTTTTATTTTTCTATATGATTTTTTTGTGTTATTGTTACTCTCCTTTATTTATTCCTTTTTTTCACAAATTCTTTCGTCTTTCTAAGGAATTGTTTGCTTAATGTTCATATTTAAGATTCTCTATAGCTAATCGTTGATTATATTTTTCATCTTATTTAGAAATGAATATGTACTCATAATGAGTCAAACTCTTAATATTTACCTATTTTTTATAATTTTATCAACATAAGTAAAGTAGAGCTCAAATTATTCACAGACATAATAACTCCATTTTTCAAATTACTTTTTATGTGTTCTTTTTCCTTTTCTTTCTTTGTTTTCTATGCTCCTTACGCCAATCGGAAGCGGTTTGCGATCCACTTCTTTTTCTTAATCAAGGCAAAATTACGTTCGTACCTAAATGAAATGGGGGTATTGATTGCAGGTCCAAATTTATTACCTAAATAAATATTGCAGGTCCATATATATGAAACTTTTATGCAAGGCTACCCTGCATATTGTTGTTTTCTTTTTGTAAATTGGCCCTGCTTTTTATTTTATTTTATTTACTTTTTTAAGTGTAAGCTTGGGAGGGGGTAGATGGCGCACTTTTTGGTGTATCCGTTGTCTCCAACATCATATTGCCGTTAAGTTGGGTAATTTGATGTCGTAGATATGAACTAAAGACTAGTACGATGTTGAAAACATTAGACTAGTAAAAGGCGGTCCGATGTTGTGGACATCATATATTCTTTAAAGTGAAACATAAGTTTAATGGGTAGTCCAATATTTTGAACATCGAACAACAAAATATATAATTATAAGCCGTCAGATATTTCTCACTACGCTCGCCCGCCACCCCACCCCACCCCACCCCCACATCGAAAAAAATAAAATAAAAGAGGGGACATTGAATAATGGGGGAAAATTAGAAAAAAAAAAAAGTAATAAGAAGTAAGGTGAAACTCCGCATAAAATTTGCAAAAATATAGACCTATGCATAATATCCCATTTTTACTTGTGTTATGGAGGTGAGTTTTTTTTAAACAATTAATACCAGATTTGAAATCTCATGGCTGGCTTTGAAATCCAATAACTTAAGGGCAGTCCCTTTGTTACCTTGCCCTAAACAACCTCGATTTAAAGTCATGTACCCTACATTCTCTCCTGGAATAGGGTCCTGAATAGGGTCCTACTTGATTCTTGCGGCATATATCGCCCTCGTAATTATGACTTAATAATAAAACTAGCTTTTGGAGTTGGAAGACCCTTACACGAATGGGACTTGGTACGGGAGCGAAGCAGTTGGAAACGTGGCCGGCCGAGAACCGTCTAATAATTTTGAAACAATTTCCTATATCTTCTTAATGCGTCGTAGACGATCACATCGATTGATTGCGGTTTGTATAGAGCCGAAGCTCTAAACAATCAAATTAGAGCTTCAAATAATGTCTTGAAATTTTTTTGTAATAGTTTTAAAATATATTTTTATTTTTAATTATAAAATTTAAATATTAAAAAATAATGTAGATAGAGCAAATCTATAAAAATTTGAAAATCTTGAAAATTGACGGTAAAAAATGTACTACAAAATGCACTATTTTCAAAACTTGAAATCTATTTTTTTTTTCTTGTCTTTCCGTTTGAATATTGAGATGTTCAATTTGATGATATCTGGATATCAAAACAACCTCTTCTAATGAAATTTTTTAGGTAGGCTCTAATTTGATGGTTTAGAGCTTAATCTCTATGTAAACTTTTCCCTTATAATTATATTTTATAAATCGCTTTTAATGGAAAGTGTCTTTATTTCACATTGTGTAGTGTGTGAGAGGGACACGCCCTCTTAATTGGAGCAAAATTCTCCTTTACCAACGAGAAAAAAAAAATGAAAAGGACATGCGTGTCAAAAGCCTCACCTGATTGGACCAAAATACTCCTTTTCCACACCAAGGACAAAAAAAAAAAAAAAAAAAGCAAGAAGTGAACCATGTTTTTGTCCTACTCTCCATGGAATATTTTTACAAAGGAAAAATAGTTCATACGACGTTGCAACTTTTTATACAATTGAAGTAAGGTACACCTAAAAAATACTACCAAGGAGAATGTTCCAGCATTGACGAACCCACGATAATACTTCCAATGACAATGTTCCAGCATTGGAGAACCCTCTAAGTGATCATCTTAACATTGAGTTGAATAGATATAAAAATAATAATAATTTTAAATCTAAAAAATAGTTATTTTTGTAACAAGTTGTCTAAATAATCTATTTTCAAAATTATTTCAAGTATTTTTTTATTTGATTAATCTGTACTATTATTAAAATTTTAAATTTTATAATTGACTATGAAAAGAGATTTTCGAACAATCATAAAAGCTTTCGACACCAAATGACATTGCTAAGTAAATTATATATGCGCACCCGAAGAAAGTAACCTTATACCAACCTCACCCTTTTACAAAAACTTATGTTCCATTCAAAGTAAAAGAAATGCCACAAATGAGGAAAATTATAATAAAAGGTAATTCGTTTTGGGTGACAAAATCTGTCGAGTTTCCAATTAAAGGCGACGCACAACAACAAATTCACAGCTGCAACTTTAAATTTGTACGAATCGTGCAGTTCAAGGCTCCACTGAAACGAAATCTAGTAATTAAGAATTCAATATAATTGACAGGTAATAGCTTAAAAATAATAATAATAATAATATAATATAGTTGATTAAAATTTCGAAGGCACCACATTAAAGTGACTGTGGCTTTCAGGGCTCGAATTCTAGGGCCGTATACAGGTCAAATCGTGCAATCTTAAGATGGTGTTTGGACTCCAGTTCCCAACCCATATGCAAAAGACCAAACAAAAATAATACTACTTTGAAAATGACATGTTTCCAATCTTGAGAAGTTCCTGAATTAAAGAAGAACGATGCCACTCCAAAACTTCATGACAAGGTGAGTCAGTAGGCACCTTAGGTGCAATTTTATAGTGCTTTAGGTTGTGCTCTTTCTCATATAGAACTCCTTTCACACTTTAAATAGATTTTTTTTTTTTTTTCTTCTTTGGGTCAGTAGTTCGACATGTACACGGCTAAATATCAACTGCTAACCACTCAAGCTCAAGCTCAAGCTCAATTCCTAATTTCATTTGTATTGATTCTCAGATATTATCTCAAGTACTACGCCTTTATTTTGGTTTTCAGATCTCATCTCAGGCACTATGCCTTCTTCCTCACTTTCTTTTGTTTCTTGACGAGTTTCTTCATTTTGGGTGGGCAAAATCTTTGCAGTCTTTCTGTCTTTTGCTTTGCCCCATAGAACGAAATAAAGTCCGCAAATGACCAAAAACATTCCTACCACACTGAAAAAAAAAAAAGAAATCAAAGAATTATTAGATACACAACATGAACTAACCCCAGATGTATTTGTAGCATGATTCTAAGAATTTACTAGTAAAATTCATGAGATAAAAATAGAGATGATGATGATGATGAAGGTAATGGCCTTACCTTCCGATGTGAACATCGACATGAAGAATAATAGGCTCTAAAATGGCCACCAACACTGTGCATAGCGGGTTGAATGCAGCAGCAAAGACAGGGCCTCTCTTCTTTATGCACCAACTTTGAATAAAGAACGCCAAAGCCGAACACATGATACCCTGCAGGTGGGTAAATTTAGCTTCAACTTTTTTTAAAAAAAAAAGGAGAAAAATCTTTACATCTATGAGCCCATGGGCCAATAAGAAGCATCAAGTAATAGACCAAATTTCCATTGAAGCTCCTATTTAATGATAAATGTAATTAGATCAGCAATATAATGTCTCAAAGAATATCATAAATGCAAATAAAAATGACAAAATCCTTTATTATATTAGGAAATGACAATTTTTTCAAGTAAATGAACATTGAGTGACATAATCCAAGCCTATGTTAGGAAATACTAACTAATATCTTTTTGAACAATTAATAGGAAAAAACATAAAATAGGTTGGTAGGAATTCTTACACTGTAAACATAGGTAAAGAGCTCAAAATTCCATCCTATTTTCCAAGCCGAGGACCTATCAAAGACAACTGAAACAATTGCAGACTGAATTGTACCCATGCCCAACATCATCGCTGTCAAGGATAGCTGAGCAGGATAATCCTTGAAAGTCCATGCCTGAAAATGTCAATAAACATGATACATAAGAAAATTGCTTCGCATAGAAAATTAAGAGGGTATGCACCTCAACAGGCGGATCAGGATTTGTGTAACCAACCCCAAGTTGGAAAAAAGCTCGATGATGATAAAACAATCAAGAGGATGAATAAGTTTAGAAGGTTAACCTGGTATACTATCCATGTAGAGTAGGCTGTGACACTTAGCACAAGCAGAATTGGACCCAGTGTCCAATTATCCTTCAGGACAACGGCGGAATTGTTGACCAAAAGATCTGAAATAGCGGTCGGATTCTTAAGGAAACCAAGGAATCCTAGCACCGGACCTTTAATTAAAGTCATGATCATGGCCCCAGTCACACATGTTATGGTACCAACAATCTTTGCTTGTCCCCTTAGACTCCTCAAATTCACTTTCTCCATTCTGATAAATGGAAATAAGAAAGAAACAAAGAAGAGTTATTAAGCATTTTAGCTCAAATCAGTGTTCGACATGAGTTTGAGTGAAAAGATATGAGTGTACCTTAGGAGAAAAGCCATGACAAAGGCAATGGCAGGGATGAGATTCATTATGGTGGCAGCAAAGGTTGAAGAAGTGAAGTAAAGCCCTGAGAAATAGAGGATTTGGGAGAGTGGAACCCTGAAATACATGTAACAAGTCAAAAAGAGTGTGATCCATGGATTAAGAAAGAAAAAGAAGAGTGTAATAGCTTAACAATAACAGAATTAGAAGGTATGAAATCACCAAATTAGCAACTGCTCTTACCCCAATAATCCAAGAATAAAGATGTTACCCAAGTTTTTCAGGGTCATAGGAGGCCTTTTCTTCCTGCAAAAATTTCAAAGAGGTTATACAGGCAATGCACTCCTGCAAATGAAGAAAAGAACAGAGAGAGAAAGAGAGAGCTTACTTATCAAGAAAGTAGGCAAAAGGAGAGATGGCAAGTGTGGCAATAGCCTGCCTGTAAGTAACAAAGATGAAACGACTCATCCCCCTTTCAAAAGCCACCCTAGTGATCACATACATCACCGCAAGAGAGCTCTGGAACAGGATTTGAGCAAACAGAGGGCCATGTTTCACCATTTTTTCCCCCTTGGATTTCACTCGTCTCAAATCACACAACAACAAGATGAAGAAAAGTTGCTGATTATAATGATGAAGAAGAAGAATAAATGCTCTCCACTCTCCTATGAGTTTATATAGGCCCGATGGAGATTTAGCCATAATATAATAAGAAAAAATAATTTAGTTCGAAAAAGAGTGTGAATTAAATGAGTAGGGGATCTCAAGTCTCGCCCGCCTTACTCCAATTCCTTTGACCAATACTCTCTCTCTATCTCATCGCAAAGAGAGCATTGGCGATTGGAATTGACCCCAGACCATATCCTTGACTATCACCTCATCCCAATACGGGTATAACCAATGGTTTAAAAACCGGATCGGTGACCCGGATCGGGCTTTTCAAAAATCGATCCGGATCGGCGAATCGGCGATCCGGATCGGAGAATCGGCGATCCGGATCGGAATCGGGTGAATCGGTCAGAATAAAGCTTCAAAAAAATCCGAAAAAATTATTAAAATTCATT